TGGAGCAGCCGCCTCGCGCAGCGACGAGATTGCGAAAGCAATCTTGTTACTTTCGCAAAAATCAATGAAATCGATTTTTTCGGAAGCATACGCGCTTAGCAACGCAACTTATATCTCGGCAACGGGAGTGCCTAGGGGACCCCAGTTGGTACAGAAACGATCAGCGGCTTCTCTGAAATACAAAGCTGTGCAGCGGTTTTACTGACTGCGTGGAGCAGCCGCCTCGCGCAGCGACGAGATTGCGAAAGCAATCTTGTTACTTTCGCAAAAATCAATGAAATCGATTTTTTCGGAAGCATACGCGCTTAGCAACGCAACTTATATCTCGGCAACGGGAGTTCCTAGGGGACCCCAGTTGGTACAGAAACGATCAGCGGCTTCTCTGAAATACAAAGCTGTGCAGCGGTTTTACTGACTGCGTGGAGCAGCCGCCTCGCGCAGCGACGAGATTGCGAAAGCAATCTTGTTACTTTCGCAAAAATCAATGAAATCGATTTTTTCGGAAGCATACGCGCTTAGCAACACAACTTATATCTCGGCAACGGGAGTGCCTAGGGGACCCCAGTTGGTACAGAAACGATCAGCGGCTTCTCTGAAATACAAAGCTGTGCAGCGGTTTTACTGACTGCGTGGAGCAGCCGCCTCGCGCAGCGACGAGATTGCGAAAGCAATCTTGTTACTTTCGCAAAAATCAATGAAATCGATTTTTTCGGAAGCATACGCGCTTAGCAACACAACTTATATCTCGGCAACGGGAGTGCCTAGGGGACCCCAGTTGGTACAGAAACGATCAGCGGCTTCTCTGAAATACAAAGCTGTGCAGCGGTTTTATTGATTGCGTGGAGCAGCCGCCTCGCGCAGCGACGAGATTGCGAAAGCAATCTTGTTACTTTCGCAAAAATCAATGGAATCGATTTTTTCGGAAGCATACGCGCTTAGCAACGCAACTTATATCTCGGCAACGGGAGGTCCTAGGGGACCCCAGTTGGTACAGAAATGATCACCGACTTCTCTGAAATACAAAGCTGTGCAGCGTTTTATTGACTGCGTGGAGCAGTCGCCTCGCGCAGCGACGAGATTGCGAAAGCAATCTTATTACTTTCGCAAAAATCGATGAAATCAAATTTTGGTACAGAAATGATCAGCAGTTTCTCTGAAATACAAAGCTGTGCACCGGTTTTATTGGGTGCGTAGCGTGGAGCAGCCGCCTCGCACAGTGACGAAATTGTGAAAGCGACGAAATTGCGAAAGCAACGAAATTCATATCTCGGCAACAGGAGGTCCTAGGGGACCCCCGTTGATACAGAAATGATCAGCGGCTTCTCTGAAATACAAAGCTATGCAGCGACGAGATTGCGAAAGCTTGTTAATAGTTCTGAAACGAGTGAAGCGAAAGAATGGACGCAAATGTGAAATATAAACCCGGTAGAGCAAGTTTCTGTAAAGTACCGCAAGCGAGCAAAAAAAATTAATGCAACTACTTTTGATGAAAAACCCAGACGTACGCCTATCAGATTAAACTATTACATAGCCGCTTTGGTACTTTAGCGCTCCGAGATGGTACCAGTTTTTTTTGCGCGTCGCTTTAAATAATAATGGATATTGGATGTAGACGTGTTTTCGGTTTTTGCGAGTGGTTTTTTAATTGGTTGCCGGTTCCGCTCGTTTTGAGACGTGGCCGGTTCGCCAGCGGCGGCGAAGGAGGAGAGGAAGTTTTGCATTAAAACGATACGTAAATTTCGCAAGTCGCTCTTATCTAGATCAAGTATTTTCGTTTGTTTATATGCAAAGATAACGAGAGTACACATTTAAGACAATTCGTTCATCGCAAACGTATCGAAAAATTATCACCAGATGAAACTGAACTACCGCGGGTAAACAAAAATTGTGCTGCGTATTCAGATATCCGGACAAAGATGTGAATTCTCGTATGCACAGAAAAAATTTATTCTTAAGCTTTGGCGGGAATCACATTGATGATTGTTATTTTTGTTCGTGTAATGTTTAAAAATTAAACAGAAAAAATAAGGAATAAATTGTGTATCCCAATCATGGCCCTGCTATTCGGCCAAGCGTCACATCAAGATCTGATCGGGATCGCGAAAAAGAGTTATGTCAATATTTTACTCTGGAAGGACCGCTAGTGTATTCCAACAATATTCCTGACTGACAAAAGTAGGAAATGTGCCGTATATAAAAAAATAATGACTTAAGTAAGCGTACTTTAGAAGACGTTTTCGATTTATGTGAAAAAGGAGAGATTATTTCGGTAATGGAGCATTTTTAAACAATGTAAGCGCTTTCGGCTACGTACGGTGGAGCCGAACGTATTTCCGAACTTTAAGGCAAAAGATCGCTAAGAGGTTCTCTCTAAAAATCGCATCCGTTGCACGTATTTATATATTTGGCTTGTTTTGAGCGTCGATTATTTTACTGGTTTATTCGAATGGTCAAAATTAAGAAAGACACGATGATTTGTTTTCAGAATTACTGAAGAGGTTGGAGTCAAAATAATTTTTAAAATTTAAAAGTGTCTGCACATACTATTATGTAATGGTTTTGTGTTATGTAAAACTTGAAATTAGTTCCTGTTCCTGCAATATTGTAGTTTTATTTTCTGTGTTAATATTTGTTTTTTAAAAATAGTTTCCTTGTGATAAGTTTTTTTTGCGGGCAATTAAAAAATAATAATAATGCTATAACGTATGAGTTCAGATTATTTTAATGCATAGATGCATAAATAATTGTGCCAACTTTCTCAGGAGTAAACATAGTTTGCGCCCGAGTTTTAAAAACACCGACGCATCTTTTCGCAGTACTTCGGGTTTGTCACATATCCTGAATCCCCTAACAACAAATACATTCCTTTGACTTCGAATGAAGGAAACAATTATAATTAAAATATACTGAACTGAGGTGGCTTTTACTTGATGAAAATCCATTTATCAAAATGAGAACTAAAAGTTCAGATTTTCACGAAATTATATATTTTTACAAGACAATTGTTTCGACGACACCGTGTATACCTTTACCTATACCTTTTTGGGCAAGATCCGCATTTCAACCTGTAGACACCTGATTTTTGAGATTTTCGACATTTTGTTTTATTGTTGTTTAAAAAATTTTCTATTGTGTTGTTAGTTCTGAAAGCTATTTTTAAACCACATTTTAACAAATGTTTTGAAACTTTTTTACCAGGTGCTCCTAGGTTTTAAATTGTTCGTGTTCTGTATTAGGTTTCGGAGAAATAGAGTTTACTGTTGTCTGGATTTGTTTTCTATTTATAATTTTATCTATAATAGACGGATTGTAGCCGTTGTTTAGTGCAATTTGTTTAATGATATTAAGTTCTCTAATAAATGAAAAATCTAATTTGTTTTGTGTTTTCGTAATGGTTAAATCTTAAAATTAATAGAGTTATCCTGTTTAATCTCGATAGTGAATTTTATACGATTATGTAATGTGTTAATGTAATTTAAAAAAGAATTCAATTGTCTGTCCGTTCCAACAAAGCAAGCAAAGACATCATCCACGCATCTATACCACCATTGAAAACTTTTACTTAAAGGATGATATTTTCCAAATTAAAGCAGTAGCAGTAGTGGTAGTAAAAATGTATTAAGGGATAGTTTAGTTCACCCCAAAAAAGTTGTACTGTCTCCTCTGCATATGAAACTTGGCTTAATGAAGCAGTTTGTTAAAGCCTTAGACACAAATGGACGGTGTTTCCAAGATAAAAGACAAGGATTTTCAAAACTCAATGACCAATGTCATTTAAGGACGTAATTGATAAGTTTCTCGGGAACTCTAACGACGAAAACCACAAAAGTATTGTGCAAAATATGTTACAGCACTTTCATCGTGTAGGTCGTGATATGAGTTTGAAAATGAATTTCCCGTTTGCACACTATTTTCCTGAAAATCTCGGAGGAGTTAGCGAAGAACAGGAAGAAAAGTTTCACCTGGATATTAAAGAACTTGAACGGCGATACCAAAGCCATTTTCAAAATAAAAACATCTGTCAAAAAGTTGAATTTCGTAGGTCTGTGAGTTATTAACGTAGAGGAGTTTCAACTTTGGCTCTGTATTTTTTTAATTTTCCCATTGTTTTAATTTAACAAATTACCACAATTTTTCCATGTAGATTCCCCTACTCAAATGTACGCAGATCATTAAGGAACAACCTGATGTATTATTACATCGAAAATACGGCATTTAATTGCCCACTATCGTACTGACCATAAAAATAATTCTTTGAAAAATTATTCTAATTTTGACCAATTCACATTTTCATTTTTAGCAATTCACCTTTTTTCGACGAAAAATCAATAATTCAACTTCCTAAAGTCTGTTCATAGGTATAAGAAACTGACTAACTGATACGAATTAAGGAAAGACTCGGGCAAGCTGTAAGAATGAAATATGGCCGAACAGGTCCGTATTTTCCAAAATCAATTTTCCATAATTGATTTTGGAACCTTCATCACTGTGGCCGTTTCTTCTAAAGATGCTTGCTTGCTGGTACCACGTTCAATGGGAGTCAAATAAACATTGTTTATAACTTCCTTAGTCTCAATAGAATAGCGTTTTCTACATTTGGGCGGGAGCATCTCCTGAGATACTCTAGACTCGCACATATTTTGCATAATTCGCACACGATTCAACACACGCTCTATTACACACGAAATAAGAATGATTATTAATAAACTTAAACTAAGTAGTATAACAACCCGAAGAATATTAAACACAGGTAGGTATAAAATTATTTTCTATTACGCAATCACAATTTTACCTGAATTTAAATTCCGAAACTTTAGGTAATAATCTTGTTAATGACCACTCTTGGATAATCCCATTCAAAAGCAGTTGGTCACTTTCTTGTATCTATGAACAAACCATACACGGTTTAAAATCTGGGGCATTTCATTTGCTAAGCAAAAAAAAAAAAACAACGGAACTGGCGAATCGATTTAACTCCATGCGAAATATTCCTATTCTAGATTCAAGCGAGCCAATTAATACGAAACTCGGCTGGACATTAGCAAAAAGAAATCGACTAGCAGCGTGTACAAGCGAAATAATGGAACATTGTGAAAACATGCTCTCACTGGCAAGGTCACCGCATAACAAGAGTTATTATAATAATTTTTTTTCGGCGAGGTTCTAACGAAAATATTATTTTATAACGCGCCGAAGGCCGACCGTCTCGCTCGTATCGGACACGTAATATTTTATCGTTGCGACTGAATATTGTCGATCAAAACTCTCGCGATGCGGATTTAAAGGTTAAGGTGCGGAAACGTCGGTTTTACTCCCGATTTATTCCAAATAAAGTAAGAAAAGTGAGCAAACGTAATTACGCCCGCGTATAATTGGTTGCATACTCCCGGTGTATTCACTAGTTTCCAGTGCCGAATAATAGGTATCTGGTTATAAAAGGTAGGTTATTTATATCGTTTGACGAAACAATATTATTTATACGAGGTGTATCCAAAAAGTAAGGTGACTTTTAAGTTTTAACAAAAAGTATTAGTGGCCATTTTTTTTTGACAGCAGAAAATCGCCGAGCACACAAAACACGTCTAAAAAAACTAGTTAACGTGCAAATTGATTGAAACTGTGAGCATATATTGGAGACATAACAATAAAAATATCAAAGATCGAATGTACATAACCTCCTAAATTACAAAAATCACCTTACTTTTTGAACGCACCTCGTAAACTTAAAGGACAGTATACGGTAGCCAGCGAAGTGTAAAATATCACAGTTCTACTATAAGGATTCTATCGGAAAGAATTACGATAAAAAAAGTGGCATTTACGAATTACGAATGTTCCGCTGTTAGAAAATGACATTAACCCATTTTGTTCCAGTGGTGCGTTAATGCACCACCTTTTCTATGATTTTTTTGTCACATCCAGGAAATATTTTTGCACATCCATTTAGAAATTTTATTATTATCACTACCAAAGGATATAAAACCGTACAAATCGCTAATTTATGTGTAAAGGAAAGATCTTATATATAACTTCAAAAGTTAACAAAAGCGGTACATAAATTTGTATAACATTTTCAAGCAAATCCAAAATAGTAAAAAAAAATATTTTGTATTTGTATTGCCATTTTTGTTAAGTCTATAGCATGTAGATTACATCCCAGAAAACATACATTGGGAATACTATATTGATTATGCATTATTTTTTGAAAATATATACTGGTGCGTGCACTACTGGTCTCTTCTGTGAAACAAAACTTTGTTATTGCAAGTCTAGACATGTAAGCGCATGTAGAATAAACATCCAATAATTAGTGTGTTCTTTAATATTAGTTTGCGCCTTGTGCAGTGAACGTTACAGTTCGTAAAATATGGCATTTCCGAGGTATTTGACTCAAAAGGAAAGTAGAGGCGGCTATGGAGAAGATCGGGACGGATGAGGACAATAACAATGAAAGTCGTAATTATTATTTGGATTCACGTATTCTTATGTATTGTAGCATTCCTAGTTAGGATTAAGTACACTCACACACCTATGTCCGATGAATTTAGATCATGTGAGGAACTCAAAAATATGCTTTCTGGAAAAACTCCGCTTGAAATATTTTTTGTTTTTTGATGACGAAGTGATTGATTTGATTTTAAATCTTACATTGCTTTGCGACTTTTAAAAACTGATAAAACAATTACTCAAAGAAATCTTGCACCTCTCTTAGATGAAGTGCGTTATGATAATCAAGGTCACCTCATGATTGTTCATGCTAATAAAGCGCGAAGGAGATGTAGAATCTGCTGCAGCCACACAATTTACGTTTGTAATAAGTGTAATGTGCATTTACAACTTCATGTTTTGTAAAATATCAAATCAGGTTCTATTTGGAAAACAATCTACTTAAAGTTGTTTTCTGTCGAATTTGAACTTTCTTTTGTATATTTATGTAGAAATTATATGTCACATCTTGTGTGCCCCAAAATATTATTTAATGTTTTTTTCTAGTGGGTGGTTTACGCACCAGTATTTTTTTGTATGTTTCGAGTTTTTCTTTTTTGACACTTGCAATGTATTCTTGTGCAACAAAATATCAAAGTGTTTTTTTTTATGCTTGGAATAATATGGGTTAAATCTAAAATTCCTTTATGTTTCGGCAAAGACATAAATGGCTTCTCAAATTTCCATTCTGGATCATATTTTGTATCATCTAAAATTTTCAAAATTTTGTTTCGAAAAGTTCCTTATACATCACGTACCATTTTTTCCAAAATGAAATGATATGAAATGAAAAAAGAAAATAAAAAAAATCATGCAGCAATATACGGTGAACAACGACAATTATAAATTAAAAACAATACTTTACATCCAAGTATACATAAATAAAAATTCTTCCTAAAACCCTTAAGTATATCCTGGAGAAAGTGACTAATGCTAATAAATTAAATTTATACCTAATTTATATAAAATACAAAGTCCCACCAAGATAATATAAAAAGATTAAAACAAACAAATCTTAGCCTTTTTTGACATCCCTTACCCTTTATTTGTTATTTACTCTTAATTATATTTTTTCCTAATATTTTGTTTACTTTTTGTTCTATAGGCGTTTATGTTTATTTAGGTATTTATTACTTCGAGGCTAACAAATAGAAATATGATATTAACATTTTGAACCTCATTTTGGAAATTACAAAAATGGGGCAGTAAAAACGTGTAATATTTTTAGCCTACTTTTTTTTACATTTATTTATTATCACATTGCCCTATTCTCTATTTCTTGTATTGAAAGAATCATTTAGATTCTGTAGATCGGGTTTGTTTTTGGAAATATTTAAAACCGGTTTTTGTCTTAAAACATTTCGACAGCTGTACAGAAGAGTAATTTCTAGTTTTTTGGAAAACTATGTTATAAATTATAAAACAAAATATAGACATTTTGAACGGCGCAATAAAAGTACTTCTAGTATATTGAACTGAGGTGGCTTTTACTTGATGAAAATCAATTTATCAAAATAAATAAAAACTAAAAGTTCAGATTTTCACGAAATTATATATTTTTACATGACAATTGCTCCGACTACACCGTGTCTTAATCATATGTAATATTTACAAACTACCTGCTATTATATATACCGAAAAATGACCATAAAACCTTAATTAATGTTGTTGTGAGAATTCTTTTAAGGTTAATTCAGGTTTTATTGTCATTTTTCACTATATGTAGTAGCAGGTAGTTTGTAAATATTACATTTGATAAAGACACGGTGTTGTCGAAACAATTGTCATGTAAAACTAATATATAATTTCGTGAAAATCCGTTTATATTTACTGTTACTACGTCATCTCGGTTTATTTGTATCGCATCGACACTGTTGCTAAGCAACGTCGCGTCATTGCAAATTAAAACACCTTTGCGCAGTCGCGAGCGTAGCGGGCATTTTAGAACGCGGTGAAAGTATCTACCGACGAAATTTCGAAGCGATTTTTTTTCCCACGAAGCCGCGCATGCTAATCGGATGGGTTATGCGTAGCCAAGCATGTTACTAATTACTAGAAGCGAAAAAAATCGGGGTATGTGGCTCGCCTTTTTACCGGCCGAGTTAATTGCGTTGTAACGGTACGAAGTTTCGGCGTGTGCTGCCTGCGGCTTTTTTTTTTGCGATACGTACCGAGAATGGGATCGATCACATGATCCCCCACCCTTTGTTTGGAGTTGGTTTCACAGACCGATAAAAAGTCTGTGGTTATCTCTCCGTCCTATGCGGCTCGGCCATCACAGACAACGAGCTCTCGCTAAGATTCTAACCTCGATGATACTTTGTTGATGTTTTAAACTGGAGCATTGAAACAACATACGGATGCAGAATATTTTAATAATGTAATCCCTAATAATGATTCAAGAAGACATACTGCAGAAGGAGCAAAAATAATGAAAAGTTTTCCGCCTCTACAACAACGTTCCTCAGAACATAACCTTAATCTTAATCCTCTTAAATCTAATTTAATGCGTTTCGGTCCAGAAATTAATAAGCAGTGTCTAAATGATAATGTGGATATTCGTCTTGATGGTATCAGGCTTTCAATGGTCAGCTCTCCGAGAAATTTGGGTATTGTATTGGATTGGAGTTCCGCTTTAGGTAATATATTAAAATCCTAATTCAAAAATCATATCATCATCTCTTGTGCTTTCTAGTTTCAACTACTGCGATTTTATTTATGGCCTTGTCTTGTAGCAGACAAAAATAAAATTAAAAAAGTGCACAATACATATTCACCCCTTATTTTAGGACGAAGAAGATATGACCATATCTCGTACATATTTAAAGAGCTTAATTGGTTGAAAATGGAGAATCGCAGAGGACTTCATTTGGGTAATTTTACGATGAAGGTCCTGATGGACCCTGTGCTAACTTTATCTTTAAGTAATAGGTTTGTTTTTCGGGAATGTCAGATTTATTAATAAAATCACTCCGTGCCACGTCACCAGAGATCGTTTACTTATATAAGAGTTATATAAGAGTTACCTGTTTAGTGTGCAATGCCAATGTCCATAAATATGCTTTTTTTTTTGTTTTACATGTAATTTTCTTTTTCTGCTGTACAGATTCTCTTGAAAGAATAGTATTGTAGCTCCCAGCTTCTATCAATGTAAATAGTGTTTTTTTTTTATTAATCTTACGTTACGTTATACCTCTATCTTACCACATTATATTTTAATTTTTCTCATATAATTAAAAAAAAAAACATTGTGCAATAATCCGACGATTTGGGGTTCAGTAGGGTAGCCCGTTCGGCTAGACTAAGCCCTGATTGTCGGAACTGTTTGTATTATATTGTGAATACGCATATGTTTCTTTTTTATTTGACTAATAAAAAAGAGGCGTTTATTATCTTTTTGGTTTCTTTGACCATAAAGTTGTCAAACCTTTTCGTATCTTTAAAAGCTATATGTTACTGTTCCAACACGATATATTAGAAGTACGTACAAAGCTAGGTTTTTTAAACTACATTTAATGTTTCAAATAATCGGTCATTTTCTTTTGAATTTTTTTAGTATGCCAATACGCATCTCGTACTTTGGCTTGTATTTTCACCATTTCTTCGAGAGGGGCATATTCCCCTGATACATAAAAAAATTCTCTAGCAGCTTAACTCAATATATGGCTTGTTGAATGGTTGGTGGTGGTCCCATTTCTGTTAAACGTTCTTTAGAAAGTTTTCCACCCACACACTTTTCGCTTCGAAATTTAAGAGTTTTGTCTGGAGTCAAAAATACCAGTTTCGACAGCATCAAAGATTTCGTCAGCGGGGTACTTTTCTGCTAGTTGTGGCCACGTCTTCTTCAGCTAATCCTCAGTGACGTTTCTGTCGACATCACGAGCTTCGTCACTTATCTGTCCATAATCCAATGGTGTACTTTTATACATAAAACACCTTGTATATAATCGAAA